AGGATGAAGGCCACCGCTGGGCGTAAGACCTGTGTGTATTGCAGTATGCGTGGGAGAAAGCAAACAAAAACCCCTTGGAAATGTAGAGCATGTGATGTTCACCTTTGCCTTCAGCCAGACAGAAACTGTTTTGAAGCTTGGCATCGTGATGGGAACTGACAGTCTGTCGAATAAGGTCACTTCTGGTGTCCCCGATCTTTCCTGCAAGATCTTCACTGCTTTCAAACTGTAGTTATTACCAAAATAATAAAATATTCTGACAGAATACTGGGCAAGATGAATTGAACTTAATAAAACTTTTTAGGATTCGATCCGGAGTTCTGAACAGATTAGGTTTAAGTCCTGAGGTACCACTGTAGTTGGGATTTTATGTCCTCTGTGCCTGTGTTTTGTAAGTCCCTTAGCATGTACAGCTTAGACTGTCCTTACAATGTTCCTGGCAGGTTTACATGTGCCAGTGTTGTTTAGTCATGTACTCTAGTAGTGATAAAAATGTGTTTTTTTTTTTTTAATTTTTTGCTGTAAGCAGGTTACATTTTCATGCATTTTCCTAGATTGAGGAGTTTCTTTTGCTATGTGCACAGTAAACAGTTAGTTCCACTATGCAATTAAAATCTGACTTTGTCTTTCTACTAAACACGAAATAAAACAGAAATAAATATTTCTTTGATTGCTCATAATGGTGCTGCTGATTTATAAAATCTTGATATTTATACATTTCATCAATCTTTTAACTGTTTATCAAATGTCAGATTGTGGAGGGACCTGAAGTACGAATAAGCTGTGAAACAGCCATTGGAAAAGTTATAGGAACAGCTGAGGCAGAATGATTATTTGCTATAGTGATGACTAATTATACCAGGACTTGGACTAGCAAGCCGAAATACGTTAGTTTCCTTCACATGGCGCAACTATACTTGTTTGAAAGTAGTATTTTTGTTGGAAATCTGTATAACACAAGTTTAAGTTAAACTATAACACAAATATGGGTAATGTCAAATTATATCGCTCAGCACTAATCAAATCTATTTCCTGAAACAAAGGAAGGCAGTCAGAGATTTAAAAAAAATCTAGTAAGAATACGTACTGCTGGTGTTTTCTAGTGTTACAGCATATGACAACAGTTTATATTCGCATGATTTATTAATTCAAATTAGATTTAAGTCTGCAGTTCATTTAATTTGTCGCCGTGTCCTTAATATATTTATGGGTAATTGTAAGGGAATTTCCAGCAATAATGGAGCATTGAGGGAAAGAAATAATGACTTGAACTATATCATGATAATTATCAATATAATT